AACTCAATCTCTCACAGGAAAGCTCTCTATTTGACAAAGATTAAAAAAAAATAAATAAATCAAGACATTTTCTAGTGTGGAGTAACTCAATCTCTCACAGGAAAGCTCTCTATTTGATTAAAACCACGGCATCCTGTCTCTCAGCCAAATTAAACTCAATTTTGCTTTAACTGTAACTCTGCTTCACCGTGCCTCCTTGTTACAACCAGAGCGGGTGTATTTTTCCATGAGAAAGTCCTGGCACAACCGCAGAGGAAATGGGCTTGTATCACGTTTCCACCCTAATGCCCTGTTAAAGCAAGAGCTGAGTAAATTAGTCATTTTCATGTTTGGGAAATCAGGTGGCCAGCACCACCACCTCTCTCCCACCCCAACACCATTCGACTCTGCTGCCACTTGCCAGCAGGAAGCACGGCTGCTCTGTCAGCAGGGCACTGCACTCTCTCATTCAGAAGGCCTTAATTTAATTAGGAATATTTTAATGCAGACAAAAGGCAACTAAAAAGCCTGTCAGTCAGCCATTGCATACAGCTTCCCAGCTTCTGTTGAACTCACCACATACCTGCCACTGATACAACATGCAAGTTATCACTCCCCCTGACTGTACAATGCCCATAGCACACAATAAACCACCTCTCCACCCTCACACATTTGCTCGACTCAGTGGCAGCATCTTCTCATCCCCAAACTACTTTAAAAAGGCAGTTGCTTCTTGGAAGTACCTTCTAATGTTCTCAGATTACCAAAAAACTGCCCAACAGACTTCAGGCGTGGTTCTTTTTCAAAAACAGACATACAGGATTCCTTCTGTAGCATGACCATGAAAGAGGGTTAAAACCTTGGATACCTGGTGAAAACAACTGATATCTTTTTCCCCAAAATCTAGGGTAGCAGGGGTTAGCAGTGTTAGACAAAGAGCTCTGCTACGTCTACACCCTTCATTCCTGATCCTCAAAGGCAGGCACTCCAGGGGGACCACTGGTGTAGAAGACAACTGTCAGCAGTTCCAGCAAACCTGCACGTGAACATCTCAGAGCTGAGAAACACTCCTCAAGCCAGACAGGCCAAATGTCACACCAGACCCAGGGATTTTTGGAAGCCCCACCTCAGGGAACTCTCCAAGCTACTTGCCTACGAGCCCTTTAGGTTGCAGAGTGCCAACAGGGTCTAACAGCACTGACGCTAGATTAACATACAGGATCTAATGCTGTGACCATTACAATGGCAGCTGTTGGGTTTATATTTTTTAGGCATCGTAACAAGCAGATAAATGTTTAGTTTTGGATCCCCACACAAACCACGGGGTGATTTCTCTGCACACAAACCACGATACTGATGCAGTACTAAGGCAGACAGTCTTCATAGTCTCCATTTGCTGGAGATACCAGGTACACATTTATCCTAGAAAAAATGAATTCAGTGAAGGCTTTTCAAATATTGGTATTAAATACCTCGAAATGGTAATATATTCATAGACAGTCCTCATAGTCTCCATTTGCTGGAGATACACGTTTATCCTAGAAAGAATGATTCAGTGAAGGCTTTTCAAATATTGCTATTAAATACCTCGAAATGGTAATATATTCATCATTTGAGCTACAACAGCATCCAGAAAACCAATCACAGTTGGACTTTGCCTAAGCATATGGGAAAACATATCCATCTCCCAGACAGCATATGCTCTGAAGAGTCAGTCAAATCAGACACGCACTGCGAAAAAGAAACAAAGTTCTAATGGAGTTAAATGAACAGCCTCAGCTTAGAGGCAGAGGCAGGAATAAACTTTCAGTCTCCCCAAATCAGTTTTGTGCCCACGTGTTCATGTTGCTTCGGTGGCGGTTAAAAGAAGCAGCAGTGAATCGTACCAGCCCCAGCTGAGAAATCCTATGAGAAACAGGATTCTCCCAGCTCACACAAACCTCAGCTCATAGCACAAGAGAAAACCTCAACACTGCTCTTTAACGCCCACTCTAGTGGAGTTTCATGCTCTGCCAGAATGGTGGTATCAAATGACAAACTACCTTATCATCCCATCGGCTCGCGCTGGAAAACACTCCCTGAAATGCAGTCAAGAAACATCATAAATGCACGCACCCAGAAGTTGTAAAAATAATAACCCCGGGAAACAAAAAAAAAAAAAAGGAGACAACAATAGCAGAATTCATGGCAGGAGCAGCAGTGTATGAGAACAGTGACAGAAAATCAAGTCCTAACAACGTCCAGAAGTCATGCAGAACAAACATGACTGCTATCACTGTATCGTACAGCAGGAAAGACAGACAAATCAAACAGGGAGCACACACAGTCAAGTTCCCTCCTACAGTTCCGTAGGGAAGTTTCTGGCCAAAACAACTTTCTTTACTACCAGCTTCAGGATCTCACCTCAGTGTTCATTCAGGGGCAGATCAGATCCAAATGGGTTTTTATCTAACTGACAACTTTTTACTCACTGTGAATCCTAGTAAAGGACACATGGAATGAGACACATTCAGAAAAAACCCAGTTTGAATTGCTTCGTTTTTCTTTTCTCCTTCTGGGTCCAAATGTACGTTGCTGCCTTTGGCAAATGCATTTACCTACAGGAGACAGTGACCAGCTTGGTCCTCAGCTAAAAATGCATAATGGTCTTTGCTGAGCAGGACTATGAGATTTGCTCTACTGTTTCAACAGCAGGCTCAGCTGCTACTGTAGATGTAATCATTTTTGCAGCTATTCATGATCAAGCTCACTGCATTAGTGTCAAAAGATATATCCTGTGCTCAATTTTAACTGTTAAGAAATCCTCAGCCTGATCACGGGCTGAGTGAGAATAACCTTTATATCCTCAGAGGTGGTAAAAGGAGAGAGAAGAGAGACAATAACTGGCATGAAACAGAATCTGTGTCACTGGGGAAAACTGGAGACTTGCATCCCCCAGGTTTCTCCAGCTCCAAGCTGAACGCACTGCCACTAGAAGATACTGAAGTCTTGCTTGGTAGTTGTGTACAAATCCCAAAGGCAGAAAGGGAAACAGCAGGATATAAAAGCTGGCCAAAACCAAAACCCCTAAGCATGAAAAAATCAACACAATGCTGCCATCAGTGATACATCTGGTAAACAAGATCTGAAATAGCCCGTGCTTGCAAGAAGGGGGAGCAAAGAAATTGGAAGAGAGAATCTGCTATATCAAATAAATCACTGATTTCTCAGGATATCCATATGTCATGAGTGTGTTATGGTACGCTTGTCGTGTTCAATGACTGCCCACAAGACATAAGAGTATATCTGATAATACTTTCTTTTGCATGAAATGTTCAGCACATCATGCTTTGAATGTCTTCTGAGAAATCAGAGCTGTGGGCCCACTGAATGAAAAAGTGCACCTCAATCACGCATGACTGTGCCCGAGATTTCACAGCGAGGTCAGACCCACCTGTGGGTCTCTGCAAAGCAAACACCAGCTCCAGTGAAGGCAGTAAACACGTGAATACCTCTTAAACAAATAATTACACTAGCACGGTACCGGGAGAACGGATGCATTCCAGACTTGCACTCAGTTGAGAGTTTCTGGATAACAAATTTGTTCAGCAACACTTGACATTAATCCCTTTGTTCTCTGTACGTATTAAGTTGCTCCCATACCTTTTCTGTAGTTAACAGATAGACTATGGGGACCTGTCACCTGCAAGCACTCTGAAGAAAGCACAATTATTACTCTTTTTTTTAATGTTAAGAAACTTTCCGTGCTGACAGTACATTCTGAATGCCTACACAAACATGCTATTGACTTTGCAGGTCCCCCAGGCTTCCCATAACCCTTCTTTCCCCTCTGAATGGGTCTGAAGTTCAAATTCTTGCAGTAATACCTGAGTGTAACTCCCACCTGCACTGCCAATGTTCTCCAGCCCTGCTGATATCTCAAGAAGTCCACTGGGAGCCTGAAGACTCTGGATCTTCTGGATTAAGTTACAGTAAAGTATTCCTTTTAATTAAGCATAATTTTGTATAATTAATCTGCACAGAAAGCATTAATTTACCTTGTTATCTCAGATTTCTCCAGAGAAAAACTACAGTTCAGATGATCTCCACATCTATTGTTATAAATCATCATACCTTAATAAGGCAGCCTGCAAGTTCAAAGAGCTTCCCCCCCACCACCACATTCTAACCAAAACAGAAATGCTGCCACGTACAGCATGCACACCAATTCCAGCCTTCATTAAAAAAACCAATCTTGCCACGAGCCACCCCGTAGAGCCAATCTGTCAGCATCACCCAGGTTCTCCCTCCACTCACAGCTCCGGTGTTTCGCATGTGTCAGCAGCCCAGGAATCATCAGTAGGAGCCAAGTCAACCACAACCCTAGTGACTAGGCAGTCTAGTTTCCCAGACTCACCCCCCTTTTGGAAAACTGTTCCCTAAAGTCCTGTTCTTATCTATTAAAATCAGGGGTGTCTTCCAGCCTAAGACTGTGCAGGATTTTGCTTGGTGTACTTAGAGACGTGTGACAGAGTGTGTGCAGAGATGCCCATTTGAGCACCAGCTTTTTGGAGAAGTACTCTGCTGTGGCAGCAACTTGGGGATTCATTTCATGCAGCATCACCAGCCCTCACCAGTCCTGCTGCTGCGTTGAGAAAGATGTGGGTTTTCACATAAACAAAAATTAACTTTGGTCTGTGCTGAACTGCTTCTTTGACTAATCAGTCACGAGTTCTGAATAACCCTATCCCATCTTCCCACAAAATAAGTCTGATCTATCTTCTAGGGCACGGTGGCGTAATGAAATTACTGCTCCCTGTAGCAATTTGTGCTCCAAAAAAGCATAGGAATTGCCGTCAATGTGGTCAGTATTTATTCTTACTAGCTGTCATTTGTCCAGGTGAGAGCATCTTTTGGCAGGACTGCATGTGTGAAGCTCATTGCTTTCAGAGAAGGGCACATCCACAGCCTATCATCATCCACAGCCTTGCTGCTATAACACAGGGGCAGCTGCATTAAAAAATGTATAGAAATGGTCTTACCATCGTTATGTGGTCCGGCAAGGGCACCAGTGTATCACAGATCAGCAGGTTCACACTCTTCAGTTCCTTCAGGAAATGGAGTTCCAGTGTTGAGAGGACAATCCTGGAGAAATACAGGGAATAAGAAGTTCAGATTCTCCCTCTTTTCTTCCCCTGCATGAGAGTTTCAAAGTGTCCTTTGATTTGAGAGAGTTTGCCAGTTACAGTTAATTGATATGACATTATGTCTGGAAGTATCCACTTCATAATAATAAAATAAATAATTAAGTTATCCACTTGGAATGAGAGTTAACACAATGTACTAGGCAGACTTTCTAGAAGCACCATCTCTGCTTTCAGGAGTATCCATGCACCTGGGAAGCGAGGCAGGGGGAGCAGGCAGGAAAAACAACCTATATTCATATATGAGGATAAAACTGGGAACGTGCAGGACAGGCCAGAGAAGGAACCAGGGTTAGAGGCTGAGAATTTGGTGAATGATAATTCTTTGCCAAGTCTCAAGATTTTGACTGACTGACTGACAAAGCTGGGTAGAACATCTATTGCACGTAACATCTCTGTCTTCTGCATGCTCATTTGTTTTCACTGACATGACCTTTTCAAACCTTTAATCATCTTGGTAAAAACAGCATAATCTCAGCTTCCTTAAAAATCTGTAATAAAAGATGGCTTTTGGTCCAAATACTGTTTTTTTCTAAATATTCCAAAATGCACTGGGATAATTGTTACTGCTTCACTGCAACCAAAACCAACCCTCTACTGGATGTACCTATGTGTGAGAAATCCCACAGTTTCCCATGCTCCATGATTATCATTAAAAAAATATCACTCAAAGAGTGATATACCAACTCAAAGAGGTGGTAAAAAAAAATAAAAGAAAGAGAGAGGGGAAAAACCACTTCTGAAATGCGTTCTCTACATGTGCACGCATACACAAAACTTACCTACAGAATAATCTTTCAGGAATTTAATTTATTGTTTTGGAAGGTTGTATATGACCAAGGGTTATGAGTCTCTCCTGCAGCAGGACTTTTCTGCCTCTTCTGTGGAGCTCACGCTGAAGGAGGCTGGAGGTGGGGGAGGATGATTACTTACTGTTTTGCACTCTAGGTGGGGATTGACAGGCAGGCTTTCAACATCAGCCAAAAAGTAATCAGCAATTACAAATTGTATCGTGTGATGAAGACCATGCTGTGCACATGTGGAGCGATCTGGCTGCACACCATCTCCTCGCCAAGAGTTAATGAGATAATTTTGCTCCTTGGAGGCTACGCCACTGCTAAATCCAAGAGCAAAGACAGCCTTTCCACAAGCAGTACCTCCCATAGAGCAGGCCCCTGAAACAAAACATGACCTAATTGTAGGCTGCAACTCAACAACTGCGGCCAAGAAAGGCTCCTCCTCTCTCTGACAGTAACTGCTCACAAGTGGGATGTGTAATTTGAACGTGAGCAGCTCCAGGATCTCCGAGCCTACTCTCAAGGCTTCAACATGTCTTTGGTGGGTGGCCTTTCTCCATTGTGTTTTCAATTGTTTTACCCCCTCCTCTTTCCCTCAAAGTACCGTCATTATTATGATCATTATTATTATTATGACTGCTATTCCTTAGCCTGATTAAGGCTCTCTGGCTATGGGAGATATTTTTAATTTTGGTTTAATAAAACAAAACAACACCGCAGCAGAGAACCCTCAGGTCTTTGAGTGGGTTCGGGCAAAGCTTGATGTTTTGATCATCCCTGCTAATTGTTTCTAGCCAGATCAGAATAAAGTATTTAAGGTATTTAGGCCTACGCCTAACTTCAAGCTAGGAGTCATGACGTTATCTTCAAACTGACATCTGACATCTGCATAAGTATCTTGCTGAATCAGTAAACCAGTGCAGGAAAACAACCCTCATGCCTGCTAATATTTGAACTTCTTAAGGCTTCTCACTAAAAAAACCCTCCCCTGAAAATGACATGTGAAATAGGGTCAGCAGAGGCTTCAAGAGGATTTTATAGTCAACCTAAGATTTCACGAGGAAAACAGATACAGGAGACAATTTATTTTTTTTTTAAATCAACTAAATGAAATCAGTAAGGATAAATCCGACCATGAATGCCCCATTTAGGCTTGTTCTATTGCATGAGCAGAATGGGTCATGTGCAAAACAGGTTAACAATTAATACTGGAGGGATGGTTCTGCCAGCATTTCCCACTGACACCATTTACAGACTATATGTAAATCCTAACCCCTACGAGGACAAATTTTCCAAGCTCAAGTCCAAATTTTTAAGTGCTCAGTAGCAACTGTAGGGGTCAGATTTTCAAGAACTTGGGTTCCATGCAGACATTTAATGAAAGGTTCAGATTTTTGCAAGTCCTTGTGTAAGTAATTGGAAACTTCTGAAAACTGGCTGTGTGTTACCAGAAGCAGTTTCTGTTGCATGAAATAACCTTTACTTAATCTGCCTTACACCTAGTAGCACAGACAGAAGTCTGGTATGTTTCTGCCCAAAATCACAAGAGTCCAATGCTGTAATAATCTATCAAGATGTCATACAGCATGAACAGGTGAGGCTGTGCAACACAACAACCCAACAGCAGGTGAACTGTACCCTAACCCTTAGTGTAGCAGGAGAATGGAGTGAACATGCAATTATGGCCACCAACTGGCTGGGACAAGCATTCAGTCCTTTTCATCTGTTCCCTGCATCAGTAATGACAGCCAACTATGCAACAATTTACAGTAAGATGAAGTCCTCCATGCTCCTCAAACTATTGATGACCAACCACGCTCAAAAACTGTGTAGGATATAATGCTTAAGGGCTTCTCCAGCTTGATATTGTTCTCACAATACATGTTTGCCCGTGCTACAAAACAAAACCCTGAAAACACCAAGCCAAAACCTGAGAAAAATTGCTGGGCATGTGTTTTATAACGTGTAACCCAGAACTATTAAATGTTTCTACTGCTTCAACTACAGTAGAAGTTGAAGGTCACAGAAAGAAATTAGTGTCCCATGTGCTAGTGGCAAAGGGTGAGGGAAGGCACATGCTAAGAGCATTATTCATAGATAAGAGTTTCTTAGCAGTCTATCATCCCCCCGTCGTGGTTCTGCAGCAATCTTTCTAAGCTCCTGACTGAAGTTAACAATAGTTATGAAAAGTTCAGAAACTCTTACCTTTTACAGCATGTTCATCAACGGATCTAAGCTCCAGTTCCCGCATTTATTCTGGGTTCAGTCATCAGTTCCTTATAAAGACTTAAAATAAACAAACAAACAGTTAAGGGTCTGCAGTCTAAAGGACTAATGCCTCTTCTCATTTTCCTAGACTCATCTCACCTCGACTGTGTGCATACATAAAATATTATTTTTAGATAAAGAGATAGATAACATCAGCTGCACTATATGTACCTGCTAAAGGCTTCTCAGTGCTCTTGGCAAATTCAGACCTGTCGCCTTGGAGGATGAAAAGTCTAGTTGGGGGCCACTTGTCATGGGAATTGGAGAAGGGTTGGAGCTGCAATGGAATCTGGCTTTGGAAAAACTCCAGGAGAGCCAGGCCTGCCCTATACACTTCCTTAGGGGACCAGGGATACCCAACTCTGCTTCTAGGAAGACCTCTCCATGCCTGGGAGAAAGGGTGGTCCTGGCTTTGCAAGACTGGCAGAGGTGATGTGGTGAGTTTTCCTGGATAATCAGTTCTCTTTCTGCAGTTTGGCATGCCCTCTCCTTCCTTGGGGACACACACATATATGCAGGTAAGGTCTAAAAGTGAGGAGTACTCCGTTTACATACCTATTTGTATTTCCAGAAGACCCAAAGACAAAGCACTTTCAGTGCTCTGTAACCAGCAAAATTTCCATCTGCCAGAACACTGACATTCTGGTTTGTAACATGGCATCACAGTGACCAGACTGTCACAGCCAGAGTATGGTATTTATTCAGCCTTAATTACTTCCAGTTCTCAGCAAGTTTGCTGAGCATGTGAGATCTGTTCTAATGCAAGCTTAACAGGATTCATCCAGTCCTGGATTCACACGGAGGAGTATTACAGAGAAGAGACAAAATTAAAAGAAGCTTGAATAAACTGGAAAGTGAAGGAAGGCTGAGGTTCCTTTTTTCTTTTGGCATTCCCCAGATGACCACCAGAAACACAGGATATCTTCAAGTTCAGTATGAGAAATTCCTAATACCCATATGTTTAGATTATTTGCTACTGTGACCATTAATTACACAACTTTTATGTGCAGCACATATAGTAGGGCTGCTTGACTTTTTTCACTGCCTGTTCTTTTCCTGCTACTTCACAAAGAAAAAAAAACCAAACCAAAAAAAACCCCAACAAAAAACCAACCCAGCTGGAAATTAAAAAAAGCAGCCACCTTGTCTTTGCCACAACGGGAGGTGACGGCTCACGCCACCGTGTCAGGATGTGATAACCCAGGAGCAGCCCCAGTATGAGGGACGTTGGTGCTCCTGTAACGAGCAGTGAGCAAGAGGCAGCAGTCTGAAGCACAGCCCTAGGTGTCTGTTATTCTACTTTGCCAGGAAAAAGTAATTAGAGAATAACTCCCTGCTGCCTTCAACTGTCTCCTGCCACCTCCACTGGTTCTCATCCATCATCGTGAAGACCTCTCTCGGTGATTCTTTTATGAGAGGGCTGCCTTTCCAAGGGAGGCACTGGGAGGAATTTTCCACTCTTCCCTCCCTCCCCCTTTGCACGGCAGCAATCTCATCTCATTACAAGCCAGGATCCTAACGTCAGTGGCTTCAGGCATCTGCTAATAAGGAACAAGCAGTTTCCAGGACCAGGAGACACAACAAGTGCATTAAAAAAACTCTTCTGAGAAAGAAAAGCCATCACATGTTTCCGATAGGGAAGGTGAGCAGAAGGTAAGGCCCCGTGAAAAGTTGAATGAAATCCTGGAGGGAGAGCCTGTAAAGTACACAGTGAAAACACTATCAGGGAGGATGAAAGAGAGCAAAGAATCCTGGGCAAATACTGGTTTACGTACAGGACATTAAGAAGAAACGTAGGGCAAATATACATTTGCACATACAGTACCAGGAGGCACAAAGCATTTCAAAAGGAGTGAGGATATTCAGAACAACTGAGCTCAGATACATTGCACTGGCTCCTAACTTCCCATTTTGCTGTTTTCTCCTTCAAAAGTAATTGTAAAGTTTCTCTCTGCATGAATGGCAAGAAGACTCACCTTTTTTAGTAAAGCACTGAGATTCGTGTGTGTGTGCACGCACTACGTGTCTATACAAACATCACAAAGGAGAAATTTTCTTTATTCCAATTCCTTTGAGCTATTCTAGCTAGGTTCAGAGGATCCTGCAAAAAAAGATGGAAGTTTTTAAGAGCCGTGTCAGTTTAAAGAAAGCTGTTTGCTAACTATGTTGTTCTAGTTATAAATATATATTTTATATATAGAGAGAGCATATAGTTAATACGCTAAACTAAACTCTCTATGTTTATTCTTCCAGGTACATGTTGTAAATGGGGCATCTTTCCAGACCTGGGGTAGGAGTGTCCCAGTTGCTGAAGAGCTGCCACCAGAGCATTCTGAACTGGTTCTACACTTAGGACATGTAATACTCTAGAAAGCCACTAAGTTCCTCTCCTGATGACATCATCCTACATCCCATGTCACCCATCTCTCTGAGGCTGGAGAAACAACGCTGCTTGAAGAAACAGCTTTGCTTGAAACAATGACTTTAAAATCAGAGATATCAGCTCATTCAAATTTTGAAGGGTTTGAGAAAAGTTGCATTTAGGGTAGGAACTGAACCGAGGCAAATCAAATAAATTGACACAATGGGAAGAAAGTCAACCCTTTTGTGGAAGCTGAATGTTGTCTGCTTGCTAAAAGTATGTTTCTGAAACTCCAGGTTTGTACAATACTTTTAAATTAACAATTATAATTACACAGCACAAGATAGCCTGTTTTACTCTTGCCCTCACTGGTGCCAGAACTATGCACTAATCTCCCAAACAAGATAAAGTTCTCTCTATGGATGTGATGGGAAAAAAAAGTACAGCTCTGACTTGTTTTGAGTCAGCTAACTGTGAGAGTGTCAATTAAGAAAAGATTAAGGCTAAAATCCTGCCTTTCAACAGCTGTTAGAACATGTCAGGAATACCCAGAGGATGAATGTATTCAATTTGTGTAAGAACAACGACAGTCAGAAACCATGGAAAACTGAGTAATAGCAGGGTATCACACGCTAATTTATCTAAAATGATGACTACTAGCAAAGGCTAAATATCACAATCGACTCCGTGACATTTAGTTCCAAAATTCTGGTCTAGATTTATCTCTATTAATACAAATGATTTGTTCCTTATCAAGTCTTTTTAATTAATAGAGATCTGAAGTGGAGAAAAGGTGGATGGAAGAGAGATCTATCCAAAAAGCTTGACAGTTCCTAGCTTGTGGTATTTTAGTGTAGCGTATCAACACGTCAGTGACGTTACACCCCCTGCTGCTATCCCTTCATTCAGGCCCCAGTGCCTGGATTTCCCTGTTGAGAAGCTGGGAGAAAACTGTTAGGGAAAAAATTCAGTGTTTTATGACTGCTGAGGCAGGCGGAGTTGATATGCCCTTAATAAACCACAGCAGGACCCAAAAGCACTATGTACATTGATCTACTTCTCCTCTTCTACATATAACTTCCATGCATCAACACAAAGTCACTTGAATTGCTAGAAGAGAAAAGAGAACTGAAAATAAAAAGAAAAAAACCTTTCTTATGCTCTGACCTTCGCTTTCTACAAGACTAGGATTTTATTGCTGGTATTCTAGGGTTGTAAAGCCTAGTTTTTGGTTAATACAGAAGGTGCTAATCTTGATCAACGTTAAAAAAATATCTAAGTATTGTAGTCATCAAAAATACATCAAATTTTATTATGGCCTGACTGCACAAAAGTGTTTATTGTGCACTATTAACATGATTGCTGGATGTAGCTAATCACAATTTATAACAAGCTTTGTAAAAGGAGGGCTTCTTCATTACTAACACTATATTATTGATAGATGCTGTGAATTGTTTGTAAGAATGCTGAAACTCATTCATTAATAGCACTTGCTAGTGAAAGGATTGTTTAAAAAATTAGTGATGGAAAACTCACGTTGTCACTTATCTTTGGATTCCCAAGAAAACAGATTGCTCCCAGGAAAGAAGTACTTAGTGTCTGCATTGTCCTCATACACACACATTTTAAGTGGCCACAGTACTCACTAGATTTCTTTTTCCTATGATGAGTAAAATGAAGAAGAGTTATTAGCCTCATTTTAACGAGGGGGACTGAGTGACCAAGATTATGCAAGACATATCAAAAGTTTGTAGCAAGGCAAGAAATAATAGTCAAATAACACAAGCTACTGCCATAATCACCTAATTTCTTAAAAACCCACAACTATTCCATGTACCTGTTCTGTACTCACAGGACTTTTACTCCTTTGGCCAGCTCAGCTGGCAAGAGCTGATACCACCAGATGCTTTGACTCTCTAAAGTGATGTAATGCCAGATAACCCTGGATAGACAAAGAGACAAATTCAATACAGTTTCAGGTAGGAAATACTAATTAAGAGAGTGATCTACAAGTTTCCTCTGGACTGTTCCCACTGAATATAATGATTACCAGACTGATATCTGAGTTGTTCTACTCTCTATTCTTTCACACAGATTCCTGGGTCTGGAAACTTAGTGTCTATGCATTATAGAATATAGCTCCCTAAGCACATAAGAACTTATTACTTAGGAAGTAAAATATATGAATTACAAGAATACATGCACTGGAGTCTCTCTACCTTTATGTGCAAGACCACCACCAGAGCTTAGTCTGAACATGGATTATATTATGGTTAAACACATTTCAGGAAAAAGCTTTACAAGAAATACTTACAAATTACTCTACTTACAAAGTACTCTACTGATGCTATTTTCTGGGCCAGATTCTTTAAATTCTGCTTAATGCTGGTTTATGAAATGCTGATGTAGTAAGACAGCCACACTTTAATATTGAACTATGGTCAACCACGTGCTTATGGTAGCACAAGATGAATTTTTCATCCTAAATGGACTGAGTGACCAAGATTATGCAAGACATATCAAAAGTTTGTAGCAAGGCAAGAAATAATAGTCAAATAACACAAGCTACTGCCATAATCACCTAATTTCTTAAAAACCCACAACTATTCCATGTACCTGTTCTGTACTCACAGGACTTTTACTCCTTTGGCCAGCTCAGCTGGCAAGAGCTGATACCACCAGATGCTTTGACTCTCTAAAGTGATGTAATGCCAGATAACCCTAGATAGACAAAGAGACACATTAAATACGGTTTCAGGTAGGAAATACTAATTACGAGAGTGATCTACAAGTTTCCTCTGGACTGTTCCCACTGAATATAATGATTACCAGACTGATACCTGAGTTGCTCTACTCTCTATTCTTTCACACAGATTCCTGGGTCTGGAAACTTAGTGTCTATGCATTATAGAATATAGCTCCCTATAGAACTTATTACCATAAGAACTTATTACCTGGAAAGTAAAATATATGAATTACAAGAATACATGCACTGGAGTCTCTCTACCTTTATGTGCAAGACCACCACCAGAGCTTAGTCTGAACATGGATTATATTATGGTTAAACACATTTCAGGAAAAAGCTTTACAAGAAATACTCACAAATTGATTCAGAAGTAATAGTACTCCACTGATGCTATTTTCTGGGCCAGATTCTTTAAATTCTGCTTAATGCTGGTTTATGAAATGCTGATGTAGTAAGACAGCCACACTTTAATATTGAACTATGGTCAACCACGTGCTTATGGTAGCACAAGATGAATTTTTCATCCTAAATGAATGGAATACAGACTCTGTAGTCATAAAACACAAACTGTCCAAGAGGTATTTTGGTGCTACTATTTAAAAGGCACCACCAGCAGCAAACTTCAAACTTCATGGTTACATACAAGGCAAATAAAACACTATTTCCAAGACAAAATGCAGTTTCTGGCAACAGCTCTCTACAGAGGCTGGAATTCTAAAAGAATGACAATACTGGCATTACAGCTTGGGGTTCAAAGGAAGAAAAATCTGTAGTTTTCCTAGTCAAATATACAAATCTCATGCTAGCTCAGCCAGCATGGATCAAGTTTCACTACTTGCCCTAGAAAGAAACACTCTTTTGGGAGGAATAATAATTCTTTCAGTCAATCTTTGCAAGTTGGTTCCCACTGAATATAATGATTACCAGACTGATACCTGAGTTGCTCTACTCTCTATTCTTTCACACAGATTCCTGGGTCTGGAAACTTAGTGTCTATGCATTATAGAATATAGCTCCCTATAGAACTTATTACCATAAGAACTTATTACCTGGAAAGTAAAATATATGAATTACAAGAATACATGCACTGGAGTCTCTCTACCTTTATGTGCAAGACCACCACCAGAGCTTAGTCTGAACATGGATTATATTATGGTTAAACACATTTCAGGAAAAAGCTTTACAAGAAATACTTACAAATTACTCTACTTACAAAGTACTCTACTGATGCTATTTTCTGGGCCAGATTCTTTAAATTCTGCTTAATGCTGGTTTATGAAATGCTGATGTAGTAAGACAGCCACACTTTAATATTGAACTATGGTCAACCACGTGCTTATGGTAGCACAAGATGAATTTTTCATCCTAAATGAATGGAATACAGACTCTGTAGTCATAAAACACAAACTGTCCAAGAGGTATTTTGGTGTTACTATTTAAAAGGCACCACCAGCAGCAAACTTCAAACTTCATGGTTACATACAAGGCAAATAAAACACTATTTCCAAAACAGAATGCAGTTTCTGGCATCAGCTCTCTACAGAGGCTGGAATTCTAAAAGAATGACAATACTGGCATTACAGCTTGGGGTTCAAAGGAAGAAAAATCTGTAGTTTTCCTAGTCAAATATACAAATCTCATGCTAGCTCAGCCAGCATGGATCAAGTTTCACTACTTGCCCTAGAAAGAAACACTCTTTTGGGAGGAATAATAATTCTTTCAGTCAATCTTTGCAAGTTAGGCCCCGGAGAAGGAATTAAAAATAGCAAGATAAGACTGATGGCAGTAGTTAAATTTCTAACAAAACACTGGGAGAGGCCAGTCTGACTCATCAGCAAAGAAAAGATAAGTGGAAATGGGAGATTAAAAGGCCACACTCCTTCCCACACAATTCCCAGACCTCCTAGTAACTAATTCTAATCTGAACACTATGAAAGCTAAATAAAGATATAGCTAGTTTTTATACTAACTGAAGAAGCTTGAAAAGCTACACAAACTGCAAATGTAAATTAAATCTCTAGAAGGAATATTCTGGACTACATTCACACCCTCAAAGTAGGAACAGTAAGTATGTCTCAGGCCACAAAACTAACAGGCTCTCCCAGTACCTCTCTGAATAATAACATGAGCAATGCAGGTGCTGAAGAGCTCGTGTTATTTGGGTTTTTTTTGTTGAGTTGTCTGCAACGCAGCTCTGAAGTCCAGCGAAGAGATAATCCAATAAGCATCCTTCCTTAGCTGGTTACAATAGCAAGGGAAGTCTAGACACTGATATCCAGAAGGTCACAGAAATAATGGTGCACCACTGAATTATGCCTACACAGATTATGTCACACAAAGGCATAGGAAGGATGGCAAGAAATTGAAGAGTAGTGGTCTTGTCAGTTAGCCTAATAATCCATTAAAGCCTGGAAAAAGAAACAAAGAAAGGATGGTATTGAAATTTAACCCCTTGCCCACCCCGAAAAATGATTTAGCCCTTCACACTTCCACAGATTATTCAGAAGATCAGAAAAATAAACACCTAAGTCAAAGAATACATACCTGTCTCTGCTGAGCTGCTACCGTTACTGTTTCTACTTCAGAAACATCAGAAAGACTGTCTGCCAAATACCCTGGACTACCAGTGGGGAGAAACATAAATCTAAAGTGAAAACTCACTGTAATTAAAACAGTAACAAACCAGAAGTACCTGAAATGAACCAGATTAATGAAAACTAAAGTGAAGTGAACACCACAACTTCCCTCCTTTCTGCTACAAAAGGTGAGTTGTTTCCATCCTGAACTGGGAAGGTATTACGGTCGCAGATGACCAGGATGACAAAGGGAGACAAGATGAGTTCCTAGAATAAAGAAAAAAAACCCTAACCCCAAAACAACCAAGCAGTTTATATGCAAAGTGTAATAAAAATCTCAAAGAACTAGTATGCCTACACAGATTATGTCACACAAAGGCATAGGAAGGATGGCAAGAAATTGAAGAGTAGTGGTCTTGTCAGTTAGCCTAATAATCAATTGAAGCCTGGAAAAAGAAACAAAGAAAGGATGGTATTGAAATTTAACCCCTTGCCCACCCCGAAAAATGATTTAGCCCTTCACACTTCCACAGATTATTCAGAAGATCAGAAAAATAAACACCTAAGTCAAAGAATACATACCTGTCTCTGCTGAGCTGCTACGGTTACTGTTTCTACTTCAGAAACATCAGAAAGACTGTCTGCCAAATACCTGGACTACCAGTGGGGAGGAACATAAATCTAAAGTGAAAACTCACGGTAATTAACAGAATATCAAACCAGAAGTACCTGAAATGAACCAGATTAAAGAAAACTAAAGTGAAGTGAACACCACAACTTCCCTCATTTCTGCTACAAAAGGTGAGTTGTTTCCATCCTGAACTGGGAAGGTATTACGGTCGCAGATGACCAGGATGACAAAGGGAGACAAGATGAGTTCCTAGAATAAAGAAAAAAAACCCTAACCCCAAAACAACCAAGCAGTTTATATGCAAAGTGTAATAAAAATCTCAAAGAACTAGAGAAGGACACTAGTTTAACAGCAAATGTTTCATAGTTTGCAATGTTCAAAAGGTACGAGACTGCCAAAGGAGGGTTTAACACCTTTGCTCTGTTCCCCTTCAATGCCCACCTAGGTATCCCGTGGGGAATGGGGCTGTCCTGGCAGGAAGCTATAGGCACAGGTGGCTGGGGCAGATTCGGGATGTTTTTAAAACTGTAGGAAAAAACAGACTGGGAGAGGCTGCATTTTCCAGGCCAAACAGTGGGGAAATATTTAGTTGGGCCATTTTTCTGCTAGCAGTAGAAGACATCAGCATGGAAGGTGAAGAAATTTTTCTCTTCCTAGATCTTTATGGTATCCAGTGGCAGTCTAAAACAGAGAAAGACCATGGTACAGATGGACAAAACACGGTGCTACAAACATATGTGTTCAGAAAACCTGGCCTTCAGAAATCTTTCAAGAGCTCTACGAAATCTGATAACTGCTTGCTCCACCATGGCAGCGCCAAAATTGGTGGAGTAACAGAGCAAATACACTTTGATGCTCTTAAAACTGCAAAAACTAGGTAAAATTATGTTCAACATACATAAAGTTAAGCTATAATACTAAAAACAGTTGTATTAGTCAAGAAGGATTTGATGCACCTGCTAAATATTAGGTATTTTGCACTCAAAAGATAACTTGACTTCTCTGTTAATAAAAATACCTGTAAGAGATACAGAATACTTCCTATTACAGGAATGAGTGGCTGGGTACACATGAAATCCTGTTTTCTCAAAGGCATTCTGTTCTTTGTGCTTACGGTCTTTTTCTAAGTACCTGTATAAAGGAGAAGGAAATATCAAGCTAGGATTAAACATCTAACATCCCCTGGACTGCTCTATTATGTATACCTCAATATTTACTTATGAAGGGCAAATGCTTTTTTTTTCCAGCCTCTCTTAACTACAGGTCAGAGTTGAATACTGCTTCCCAACCGCTGTGGTTAACAGTCAGTCAGAGACAGAGCTATTCCACAAACCTGTCTAATCCTTCTTTAGGGGTATTTTTGTAAACCATTGGCCTCTTCTGGTGACCAATTCCACATTTTAAGAATGCGCTCCGGGCAAAAGGTGGGACGTTCTATTTTGGTTGCCTCTTTTTTCAAACTGAAGAGTTTCAACCAACATAACTAAAATCATCTTATTCTGACTCTGTTTTGC